CTCTGTCATCTGTTACGTCGATAGTGATATAATGACTCGAGCTAACATCGATATGCTCTCCATTTATCTCCAATGTGAGCTAATACTGCCTAGTTAGCTTGAGTGTTAGTTATTTCATATGGTAGTCGGTTCTCTTCTTCTCCCCTCCTGCATGGATCTTTTTGTAGGTGACATAGGTCGCAGTAGCAAACTTGGGTAATTGGGCTGGTTGTATACATAATATTATCAAGACAGCAGCAAACTGTACAAGATAAAATGTATGCATAATGTATACAATAGCGTAGTCATTGGAAATGTGAAACATAAATAAGGACGTACCCTTGAAATAAAGCAGGACCTATTACAGTAAAATCACAATTGAGTGTCAGCAGATAAGAAGTCATCATAGAACTAATGTCCAGAAATAAGTTTAAGGGGTAAAGAGTTGGAGCGAGTAGAAACAGTGCGAGAACGTAGTAACGGGACACATTATTACAGTGTAGTATAATGGATTGTGCGCAGTTGTGAGGTATGAAGCATAAACGGTTTGTGCGGAAAGATAGCTCAAAAATTAACGTCTACTTTATGAGGTGAAGAGGTAAAGTGATGTAGACAGTGCGACCACTATCCATGCGAGTGGCGTGACGTAGTACATACTTGAATGGGACGGAGACGTTCGCGGGCCGAGCTTTCAGGTGATGCTACTTCGTCCAGTGGTGACAGTGAGCTTAGGGATGTAGGACAATCACGCCGGTTTCGTATTAAGTTCTTCTAAATATCGTAAGCTGTATGACAGAAGCGAATAGTGCTAATCGAAGTACTTTACAGTCATCTTGTCGGCTCCTACTAGAACCGGTGATGAGTTTACTTCTTAGAGGCAAACACGAAGCGCTTGCCGTATCCGTTCCAGCCACTCAATTACGTGCTATGGGCTGATCGACGAGCAGGATGAAATCCATTCCCAAGCACGTCTACGCCCGCATATATGAATGTAATTGTGTATTAGGGAAAAATATAGGTTAATCCTGGGAAATGCGGGAGATCACCACTATGGGTGTCCACATAGTTTTGAAAGAGTGGCCGGTAGCACACCTATGGGTCCAATTTTTTTCTGGTGGTATATATTAACACATAGAACTATTTTCCTACACTTTCCTTAGCAAACAGCTTATAGAGCACAAATGTTGTGTTGTGCGTTCTTTGGGAAAGCTCTATACTGCATTTAGAAATACATAGAAACCATTTTCCGAATAAGTTCACTAACCAGAAACTCTGATGCTAATCCACTATTATTTCAATTCTCAAAACCGACCTTCTACTAACCTCGAAAAAGATTGTTAATTCGCTGTTTTCTTCAGTAATCAGACAATTTATTAGGATACGATAGCTGACGTTTCGACGGTTTCGCCTTCTTCAGAGCCTGAAAAGGTCAAATTGAGATGCGATCTACTCAGCCAAACATTTCCACAACCCCAGCAGATAAAACTTAACAAATAAATTTGTATTCGCAAAGAAACAGCTTCATTTAAACACCTTCCGTTCATTCGTTGTAAGTATTTCAGTTAGTTGGTGGATAGAAGCCGCACAGTAATACATGGGCGATAATTGTGTCTGTGTCAAGTCACTGGATTAGCCTGAGGTATGGCGCCAGGCCACGCGTGACGACAAGACACTCCTCTTTGCGTTTCATTTTTGAATTTTTGGCATGGATCCAAAACGCTTCAAGAGTTTTACGCGCTGATGTTTTCGCTTCGCGCGTGATGATAGTGACTCCTACTTCAAAATCTTGATTTTTTTTTGAAGCGTTTTGGATCAATGCCAAAAATTCAAAAATGAAACGCAAAGAGGAGTGTCTTGTCGTCACGCGTGGCCTGGCGCCATACCTCAGGCTAATCCAGTGACTTGACAC